CTCCAGACTGGGGATAAGACAATGTTAAGATATAAATTTTATATTTAAGGCCTAAGGGCCCTATCAAGAATGACTCTTATGTTGATAGTTGTAATACATTGTAGAATGAACCCGGTAGTTCAGCGTGCTTTGAATATAACCAAGACGGAATGCTCCGAGAGATTAAGATCATTGGAATATAAAAAATTTTAATCCTTGAATATGTGGATTCCAAATATTGGTATACGCTGAAATCAAGTATAGAGCCAGTGATAGGTCACTGCACATACAACGCATATACCAAATACAATTTTGCAGTTTGCAAAGGATAACCTCTTCTGTTCGGGAGAATTTAACACATATTTATCTTTTAAGTTCTCCGACATCCGATAGTTCTTCCTGGTCCTATCGAGAGCTAGTTGCTGGCTCGACACTAGAAGGATCCCCGAATCACAAGTCAGGGAAGACGGAATGAAGTGAAACAACTTAACTGAGCTCAAGCAGCTTTACAGTAGCTGTTTAAGCTCTACGGACAGAAGCCAGCCAAGTCAGTGGAAAAGTGAAGATGTGTCAAGTTTTGGCTGTGAGATAAGTAATCTGTCGGCTGCCGCCAACCAAAGAAAACGGAAATATCGATTACCTTCGAGCGTACGCGCGGAGGGTCGACAGCGAGCGTGCGAAAGGAGAATAGTGCGCAGCGAGCGAGGCTTGGTGAAAGAATTTAGTCTGAGTCAGCGCAGTTGCTCTGGGTGACGGACTCCCACAGTCCTACATCACCGCCCACGTTCCTTTTCCGAATACTGAAACCTATTTTTCGGTTTGGGTTGCAATAATTGTAGCACTGTTGAAGAACACACCTTCATTAATGAAAAATACACTAACGACATCACACTGTCATTTGATGAACGTCCGCGGTTAAGTATCATCTTCGTGACCAACGCCGAGCATACTAATGTTTTACTTGAATATGCAATCCTCTCAACTCGACGTCGAATAGTAACAAAACAGCGATAGTCATCACTCTTGAAAATACAACATGCATTTTTTAGATAGCCTAGAATGCCTTTCATGGGAGTAATTTAGAGTTTATTTTACTGGGCTGCAACGGTGGTGTAAAAAGCGAAGATATTCGTTTTGCACACTTTGCAAGTGCGTTAGCGCAAAACTCATTCGTGCATTTGTTTGTCGAATTGTGCTTTCTTGGCTTTTTTCTTAGTCCGGGCAACTTTGCTGAAAAAATTTCTGGCTCGTCATATAAGGTTTTTCAGTTGCTTACTGTTACTTGATTGTGGCAGCACCTTTACGCTGGTACACTACTCTAATAGCATCTAGCTGGCAAGTTACCGGCAACGGCTGCGCGAAAGCCGCTGCCGTCGCCGACCGGTGAGATCAGGAGGGGGCCGTCTTCCAAGCCAATTAGGGCATCTTCGCAGGATTTTCACTGCGGTTGCTACGTTATTCGGTTTTGCTATTGCGCTCCTAACTCCTTCTGACGCTAGTTCGAGTCGTTTAGAGCCCGATAAAAATAAATGTATGTGACCCATTATTTTTAGTGTCTGTCAGATACAGTTTCTTCACAAGTCATGAGTAAAGTGAAAAGACCCCATTGACGTATTCATGGATCGATTTCGAGCGCTATCGTCCATATGTACGTTCGAGTCGGCTTAGTTGGACGACTTCCGCATCCAGTATTCGTAAAGGCACAAGAGGCTACATGCATAAATGTACGTATATCTTTTGCGCTGCATTTTATGCCTGACAAATTGTTTTGACTAGCAGTGCAGGCCTCACGTCGGATAACGGGAATTGCCGAGTGGCGTATGTTTTGTAGTACTTTAGACTTCCACCTTAATAAACGCCTCAGCCAATTGAATAGCTAATTACTGGTTCAAAAAATCACTGTTGTTATTACATAGCTACTCAGTTATTAGTGCACTATTATAAAAAATGAATTGGCAACCTAAACGTCAGTGGTATGCTGCGACATTCTTGCAACTTTTACGCCCTCGTGAAAATCCCTTCTGCTGTCGCTCACGTGGAGCGCATTCGGGTTATAACAGTCCAACGAAGCCACTGCTCTTAAATGTGACCCTTTTAAGAGTAACAATCTTTTGGTCAACATATTGCATTTGTTGGCAAACCAGTATTGTCACAGGGAAATATCTTCCTTTCGTCTGTGCAGATTAGAAAGGACATTTTGGCCGTCATGTGCAGTTCGAGCCGAACCGATATAGTCGGCTGTTTGTAGTGTATTGTAGAGTTCCACGTACAGAATACCATTAATATATAAGGGGTTCAAAGGACTGTAAGGACTTAACTTCGATCGCCTTTCATAAGTGCATCACAGATCAATTATGCATCCGTCTGTCACCAACAAATTTAAACTGACTCGTCAAACCTTCCGTCATAACACCTCTTATTATTTTTTACGGTTTTGACAAAAGGTTTGCCGTTAATTCAATATAAGAATTGGATCTGAGACAAGAAAACGTACGATTTCTGTCCATTGACGAACTCGCACTTCTTGTAGCGAATAATCGATCTTAGCAATGTCTACCACGGGCTTGGTGGCAGAGGTAAACAGACACTGCTTCAAAATACTTTATGTGAACTAGAACGTTTAGTGTCCTGTTTGTGCTTGCATCGGCCTTTTCTACGACGGTCAGCAGTCGCCTGTCCGTGCCTTCTGGCATCATCTGTGCGAGTAGCAGACACATGCCTGAAAGCGCTCAGCGTCGGTGGTCGTGACGTTGCGACCATGACGGCGCTGTTGCGCACCGAGCAGCTTA